TTTAGATGAAACTTGAAGTCAACGCTCATAAAATTCAGAGTATTTTTTAAAGTTTACTGTTCCTTCTTTAAACACGGCATCAGTTTCTTTAACCATCTTTACGGTGACCCTTAGCTTTAGCTTCAGCTAGCACATTACATCGAAGTCAGTGTTTCGACCATTACCTGTTTCCACGCGTGTTCAGAATCTTATGCCACTCGAGTCCTTTGTTTATATCGCAGCTAAGGATCACTTACGAACATGCAACGCTTTAAAATGTTTGTTATTGACGCTTCGACATGCTCTGTGTGGCGGCTTCCATCTTTACTCTGTGTCCCATAATTCAACGCGGCAGTACCGTGTTGTCTGTAGAGAAGCGCAAAGGAAGAGTTTTATTATTGTCTTTGCAACTTTTTACTACGAATTCTACCCAGTAGGGGGAGATGGGCCTGTCGATACCCGAGTAAATAGGTAAGTTAAGTTTATTTAAAGCGCTTTATACAGAAAACTGGGAATAATCACAATAAACATTAAAACTGTTAAAAGTGATAGAGAATTAAAAAAACAGTCATACAAATAATAACAAAAGAACATCAATAGAAGGCCTGGCTAAGCCTTGTTCTTAAAGGAGTCTACAGAGCATTACATGTTTTAATATATCTAAAAGTAATTTTCAATTAAAAGTTAAATGCCAGGTGAGGAGAAATCAGAAGTTGGAGAGAATGGCACTCACTAGGATTTAGTTATGTGAAATGTGTTTAACATCTGTTGTATTTACTTTTCGAACAAAACAGAATAAAACTGAATGCCTTTATTTGTGTTTCTACAGAAAGCGAGCGTCTTCCAGAGCCGTGCACAAGTGAGACACATTAAGCAGAAAAACTTCAAGCAACTTCTAAAAAAGCCTTGCTTTAACAAAATTAAAAAATATATAAACGGGATAGAAATTAGAAAAATAGGACAGGTATAAGTTAAAATCCACACACACCATACACATTTATGAATTTATGAACACACACGCAAATATCCCCTGTGAAGTCCCTGGCGATATTGCACAAGGATGCTGTGCGTGGCGGCAGTGTGCAGTTTAATGCAGGCCTTTATTGATCTCTAGCACCATCCAAGTGGCAACAGAAAGAAAAGGTGGTTGCCAGGATGAGAAGAGTCCTTGTTGTTGTTTGTGGCACGACTTGTAGCTGTGCTTCTAGCTGAGTGACAGTGGTTTTCTTTTCTGATGTTTTGTTTCTGTCAGCGGCCTTTTTGTCATCTCCAGTGAAGATTGTATTTCACACCAAAATGCCATAGTGGAGTAGAATAACACCAGCAGCTGTTTGGACAGCTTGTTTCTTAAAGTCCTGTTTGTGCAGAGGAATTTAAAGTTGGAACATTTTCCACATTGCCTCCACCTTTGTTCAATGGAGCAGGATTCTCTTTCTGTCTGCTGAAGCTGATGATCATCTGTTTTGTTTTGGAGGTGTTAAACGCCAGGTTATTGATGGAACAACATCAGTCGCTTTGCAAATCATGCCTGTAAACAGCCTCATAACAATTACGTGCAACCCTGTGGTGTCATCTGCAAGCTGAGTGCAGTGGGTTGGTGTGAAATCGTGGGTGCACAAGGAGTAGAGAAGTGTGTTTAGCTTTCAGCCCCGAGGGGCTTCTGTGCTGGGAAACTGTTGCTGTTTTGTTATGAAACATCTGCATGTGAAGTCTATGCGCAACATAATTATATATGTGTCCTGATGTTCACATTCAGCCGCCCTCCCATAAGTTCGTACAACACTGGACTTTACGGTAAAAAGGGACTGAAAAGCAGAAAATAAGACAGGTGAATTCTTGCACTGAAAAAAATCTGGGGGAAAAAAGAATACATTTTATTGCAAACCTCATAAGTGCTATTGCAAATCAGACAATCCATGCAGGCTGAGTAGCCCATTGCAAATTTCAATATCATTTAGTTTTTCTCATTTATGTAAATGAAAACAAAAAAACCCCAATATAACACAACAAATGTCATCAGCAACACAATCTACAGTCTGGTTAAAAACTAACAAACATACTGCAGGAATTCTGCATTTGTGGTATTTGGTTGGTGTGCCTAAAAAACTGGCAAAAACCACAAATTGATTGATGAGATTTGGTGCTGAGCCTGCAGCTGCAAACATTCAGGCTGTTTTTGCCTATTTTGCCTTTTTCTCTCTCTCATTCACACACGCATACGCACTCAGATGACATCAGTGACAGATGCTGATACTTTCAGTCTTACTGTTGCAAAGAGCTGAATGGAATAATTTGTCTTTTTCAAAGAAATAAGACCAGCACAGTTGATCTTTGTCTGTATTTCATTATTGGTAATGCGGCAGACACTATGTGGAAATTTAGCCCAAACAAAACATCATCAAACATTAGATTCCATTCACATTTAGCATAACCACAGAGCAATACTGTGTGCAGAGAAGGCTTACTGCTTTACTGTAAACATGCAACCTTAATTTAACTTTGACTTCAATTTAGATTAAATGTGCAAAAAAACAAAACAAAACCCAAAAACAATTTTTAAAAAAGTGTCAAAAAGTGCAGCTTTGTTTGTGTATATATGTTGAGGTAATGCTTAAAAAACACGAATCAGATATTTTTCAGCAAGCCCGAAGTGTAATTTTGGAAAAATATTTTGCCACGCACTCGGTTTTTGCATCGCAGTACAGCGTTAAGTTCCCTTACACTGTTGCTCTGAATGCCGGCGCAAATAAAATGCTGACATAAGAAAATGTAAAGAATTTCTCAGCAGAGCCGCATGTTTTATCTGCACTCTGCTTCCTGCCAGTAAAACCCAGTGCAAAGATATTTCAGCATAAGCAAATACAGAATATGTGACCCTGCTATAATTCAGTCAGTTACTGAAATGAAACCGCAGAACTATCGACAATAACAGAAAACATTCATTCTCTACTAAAGGTTGTGAAATGCTGCTGTGAGTTTAGAAAATGGACAACGAGGAGAGATAATGCAGTAAAATCTTGACGCGGGAACAAACTACTCATCTGCCGTACTTGTACAGAAGGAGTCTGATTTGACTATTTTCCAAAGTAATCTTTATTAGCATATTCGTCTGCATCCCTTCAAGCTCAAAGAGCAGTAGTTTCCATGTGAGGGGTGTTTTCCTTCAGGGTAACATCATCACATATTCAGATACGGTGGAGATGAATAAACGACAGCTGAGGGAAAGACCACCTCACAGCACTGAGTAACACGCTGAGAGGTGCCCCCTGCTCTCTCAGGGTGTTTTTCAAACCAAAGCCTCAAGATCAAATAAACAAAACAGTGATTTCAATTTGAAGGCCGACAAAGGAAGTTCAGTGTGGATGAGATGAAAGGATTACAATATCAGTCACACAAAAGTCACATGGCTCTCACCAAGGAAAATGTCTTACCAAGATGAAGAAAAACAGCCCTGAGGTTTCACCCACATGTTCTCAGGTATATCTGTGTAACTGTCTTAGTTTCTCTTTCTTTCTATGCATGCACGCATCTATCTATCTATCTATCTATCTATCTATCTATCTATCTATCTATCTATCTATCTATCTATCTATCTATCTATCTATCTATCTATCTATCTA